AATTCTAAAAATAAAAAAAAAAAAAAAAAAAAAAAAGCTGCTACTGTACTTTTATGTTAAGTTCTAGCATCCACAGCTGCCGTTTTTTTAGGGATGCATCGATCCGATACTCAGTATCGGCTCCGATACTGGCATTTTCTGCCTGATTGGGTATCAGTCAGACAAGACCGATCCAAATCCGATATTGTGCATACTATTCTGTGACGATCAGGTTTAGATCAGATCAATTTTGGAAAAAAAAATGGTATCGTTGCATCCATATTTTTTTTTGTTTGTTTTTTTTTGTTTTCAAGTAAAATTCACACCTAGGGGTGTGAACCTACACTGGTCTCACGGTTCGGTTCGATTACTGTTTGTTTTTTTTTGTTTTCAAGTAAAATTCACACCTAGGGGTGTGAACCTACACTGGTCTCATGGTTCGGTTCGATTACAATTATCATGTCATCGATTCGGTTCAATTCGATATCGCGATGCACTGCATCCTCAATTTTCAATTGTACTTCACATGTATAGCCTACAATTTTGTCAATAAATACAAGCAGTCAGATATATGAACTGAACCTTTAATTTTAACTGCTCGAAGAAAACATGCTTTTGAATGTATAATTTTTGGTGAAAACGGCTGACGTGGTTTTTCAAGTTAGTGGTATTACCATAGATGTATATACGTAGATGCCTCATTAGCGATTGTTTCTATGGGTGGCGATATGTAAGCCATCTGCGATTTTTGGAATGGTCTGCGAACCCTCGAGCACAAGTTGACTGTGTGCGTCTACAACAGCAAGTTACATGCATGTATATCTTTGAATATTCATTGATTATTATGGTGAATGACGGCAAGTTGACCGTTCCAAAATGGCAGACGCGTCAACGTATCTGGAGCGGTCAAATAGGGCATCTATACATATCTATGGGTATTACCCCCTGCATATTTTATTTGTGCATGACATGATTTACACACAGCGTGTGTCTTCTCCAGGTCGTGCTAACCAGGTTGTGCATAAAAGCCGAAATGTGCCTAGATGTCGGCTTTTAAAGCAGTTGGAGCATTTTTAATTACTCGCACTTGTGTCTCGCCTCCCTCCGTCATTGTATGCTACAAAGCACGCATGCGGCAAATGACGGCAGAAAAGCGTCAGTACGTTATGTGTTGAAAAAAGCTGTGCTGCTTAATATGTTTGTGATACGTACTCAGATTCTTGGATAAATATAAAGTTCAACTGAAAAATCTGAAAATCATTACGGAGCCAAACATTTTTAACAGTAACAAAGAGCAATACCTGTATGTGAATCTTGACTTCTGATTTGGGGGGGAAAAAAGAATTTTGTGGGAAACTAGTTGTATAGAATGAATCGTCCTCATCTGCATCGCGATGCATTGTAGAAACTATTAATTTTGACACCCCGAGTGCTGCCTCAGCTAGTTCTAGGCTAGTAATGGGAAAACTGCAGATTTCTAGGAATGGAACAGGACAGTTGGCTAGTAGTCCAATTATAGGCCTGATTGAAGTTGGTGAATAATTTAGTTGAGGAAGAATGTGTTCGATAGCACTAACATGTCTTCGTGACATGCAAACCCAATCTTCCCCTGCCCTTGACCAGCATTCAGTCTGTCTGAGAGTGATTAGAGGTTCCCTCCAGATAAGAGCCAGTCTGGGCCCCAAAGGAGTCACACAGGCACAGCAGCTGGCCTAAATGTTGACTGCCACCTTACTGACTGACTGATGGTCAGCTTTTAAATCTCAGGAAGTATGTCTTAAATAGAAAATTATCCTTTATTACAGAGGTACCTACAATAACTCAAACTTCATCTTGAATTTGTCTCATAACTATACATGGCGGTTTAATGCTTGCTTCTACATTTTACCCTGCTGCATTCTCAAAACATGCAAACAAAAGAATGAAGATAACTTGATAGAACCAGAAATATTTCTGTACTCTCCTAAACTCTGTTATTCATAATTTATTTATGATCCTTCAGAAATCATTCTAATATGCTGATTTGCTGCTCAAGAAACATTTCTTACTATCAGTGTTGAAAAAAGCTGTGCTGCTTAATATGTTTGTGATACGTACTCAGATTCTTGGATAAATATAAAGTTCAACTGAAAAATATGAAAATCATTACGGAGCCAAACATTTTTAACAGTAACAAAGAGCAATACCTGTATGTGAATCTTGACTCCTGATTTGGGGGGGAAAAAAGAATTTTGTGGGAAACTAGTTGTATAGAACTGGAATAACAACACAGCACCATTTTTACTCTGCTGATAAATGCAACGTCGCTGCTTCTAGACACTCTTCTGCTTCTAGACACTGTCCACTAGACACACAGACCCATATTTTGCTGACACTTTTATATGAGTCTGAGAGTGTAAGCTAGTGGTACTTTGTGGGGCTTGGCAGACAGGAAGACGCGAACCAAGCCCTGGGCGAGGACCTCTCCCCCTCCGCCGCCTCCGGTCTTCGAGATCTCCACCCAGAACCGCTTCGCTCCCCTCCACAAGATGGAATAATTGGAATCTTTTCTGGGAGCATCCTAGGCTTTTTCGCACTGATGGCCTGCACCCCAGCAGAGTTGGAGCGGAACTCCTGTCGGACAACATCTCCAGGACGCTAAGCTCCATATGAATAGTAAGCCAATTCTCAAATAACTGCTATGATGGCTTTTGTTCTACCCGCTTAAATGATAGAAGCACTTGCGTTGTCCAATCTATAAAGACTGTGTCTGTTCCCCCGAATAGTGAGGCCAACATATAAATTTAATGCAGGATCTAGAAAAAAACCTGATCGTGATTAAACCGAAAAATAAATGAACAAAAACCATTTTTAAAGCTTGGGCTCCTAAACATTAGATCACTCGCACCCAAAGCAGTTATTGTAAATGAAATGATCACAGATAATAGTTTCGATATTACTCCGCTTGACTGAAACCTGGCTCAAACCAAATGATTGTATTAGTCTAAATGAGTCTACTCCACCAAGCTACTGTTATAAGCATGAGCACCGTCAGACTGGTCGTGGCGGTGGTGTTGCAACAATATATAGTGATATTCTCAATGTTACTCAGAAACAGGGTACAGGTTTAACTCATTCGAAATACTTCTACCTAATGTTACACTGTCAGATATGCAAAAGAAATCTCTCCTATCTCTTGCTCTGGCTACTGTGTATAGACCACCAGGGCCGTATAAAGATTTCCTAAAAGAATTTGCAGATTTCCTCTCAGCGCTAATTGTCGGAGATTTTAACATTCACGTTGATAATACAAATGACACTAATTGTCGGAGACTTTAACATTCATGTTGATAATACAAATGATGCATTAGGACTTGCATTTACAGACTTAATGAACTATTTTGGAGTCAAGCAAAACATAACCAGACCCACTCATCGTTTTAATCATACACTACTAACTCGTCGTTATCTCTAGGTCACATCCCAAAACCATTCAAGCTGGCGGTTATTAAGCCTCTTATTAAGAAACCACAACTAGATCCTAGTGAACTGTCAAATTACAGACACATTTCAAATCTTCCGTTTATGTCTAAAATTTTAAAAAACGTTGTGTCTGCTCAATTGTGCTCCTTCCTGAAAAAGAAAAAAAAAGAAAAAAAAAAAAAAAAAAAGATATCTATGAAGAATTTCAGTCAGGTTTCAGGCCCCATCATAGCACAGAAACTGCACTTATTTGTTAAAATTACAAATGACTTGCTCCTTGCCACAGACCAAGGCTGCATCTCATTGCTAGTTTTACTTGACCTTAGTGCTGCGTTCGACACTATAGATCATGACATACTCATAGATCGATCACAAAACTATTACTTATTGGACCAAAAAACAATACACAGAATCTAGTAGATTACAATTAGCATCTATATGGATGCACGGTTACTTCCTCTACAGTCAAAAATTTGGGTGTTATATTAGATAGCAACTTGTCTTTTGAAAATCATATTTCCCATGTTACAAAAACAGCATTCTTCCATCTTAGAAACACTGCCAAGCTATGAAACATGTTATCTGTTTCTGATGCAGAAAAGCAAGTTCATGCATTCATGACCTCTAGACTGGACTATTGTAATGCACTGCTAGGTGGTTGTCCTGCATCTTCAATAAACAAGCTAGAGGTAGTCCAAAATGCAGCGGCTAGAGTCCTTACCAGGTCAAGAAAATATGATCATATTACCCCAATTTTACAGTCTCTGCACTGGCTACCTATTAAGTTCCGTATCAGTTACAAAATATTACTACTTACTTTTAAGGCCCTAAATGGTTTAGCTCCTGTGTACCTAACTAGTCTTCTATCACGCTACAATCCATACAGTTCCCTAAGGTCGCAAAACTCTGGACTCTTGGTAGTTTCTAGGATAGCAAAGTCCACTAAAGGAGGTAGAGCTTTTTCATATTTGGCTCCCAAACTCTGGAACAGCCTTCCTGATAACGTTCGGGGTTCAGACACACTCTCTCTGTTTAAATCTAGATTAAAGACACATCTCTTTAGCCAAGCATTCACATAATGCATCTCATAACTTTGTACTTCAGTTACATATGATCAAATGCACATTTTCATTCTTTTACTTGGATTGAACATATAATTTTTTGCTTAGTTGGAACAGCAGCTACGCTAATTTTTCTCTATTATCTTCTCTGTTTCTGCCACGGGATTGACATCCCATGGTAACTAGGAATTACACAAGCTTCAGTCTGGATCCAGCCCTTACAAATACCTGAGAAGAGATGATGCCAACCCCCCAGAAGACCTCAGATGATGCCAACCCTCAGACAACATACAAAACTACCAAAGCTTGCTATATGGACATCAACTTGAGATAGTCACCACTGATAAGCTATGACTAAATATAATGTATCATTTTAATTTTCTGTAAAGCTACTTTGCAACGATTTGCATCGTGAAAAGCGATATACAAATAAACTTGAATTGAATTGAAATTGCTCTTAAGTGTTTAAATTTAGGACACTCTTCTATTATGGAAATTATATAATACAGGCTCGTGAAAAGTCTAACCTGTCATTTCCGTTCCAGCAGCATTCAAATTTATCAAAGATGCAGTCGTTCTCATAGAGAGAACACAACTTACTCCTGAGGTACTCGTGGACCTGTGGAAGACAAAAACACAACACTATGATCTCCAGTATTAACTGTCACTGCTGTATCAGAGGCAATAAATCAACCTGATGCTCATGTACAGAAAAATGACTCCGTAATCCATGATGACCTCATCTAAGCCATGAATGTTAATCAGAAATATCTGGGTGTGTCAAGATACTCCCAATCGGTTGAGGCAAAACTGCTGACTTGTAGGTTCAACCTTAATCCTACACTTTTAAATAGTGCAGGTAGCGCCCCCTAATGTTGACTAAAGTAGTCTTTTCATATATATACTTTTTCATATAAAATTTTCTGTTTTAATTGTCTGTTAAGAGTGCTGAATGAGTGACAGCAAAACCCAGAAGACTAATTTTCCTATGGGTTTTTATAATGGGGTTTTTCAATTCAGGAGTAAAATAAGGTTTGTGGGAAACGTAACTTGATGATACTTAGATGTTTTGTTGTAAAATGAAAACTAAACATATATACTTATTACAAACATACATTTAAAAAAAATGAACATAACTGTTTAGAAATTCACAATTTCAGTATGGACATGTGTTGTAGAGCAAAATACCCATGTATTGTCAATTTAAATTTACCACATTAAATATATACATTACATTCTAAAATGCTGATTTGCTGCGCAAGAATAATTTCTTATGAATTTTGATGGGAAAACAGTTGGCTGCTTATTATTTTGGTTGACAGATATAAAAAAACGATATAATTTTTTTCCAGGATTCTTTGATGACGTGTGTGTGTGTGAGAGAGACTGTCTGTCTCACACACACAGATCACGTTGCAGCCGCACTCAATCATTCAGGAACAAACCTTTTAGCGCTGCCCCGCAGTTTTATCAACTAAATAGCTTAATCGCTCAAGAGCTACATTATCTTTCTCAACAAAATAACGATCCACATAACAGAACATAAACCTGACAATAAGATTGTTAGGCTATTGTTAGCCTATATGTATAACAGTTCGTTCTGATCCTCGAATCCGACTGGACAAGAGACTTTCTATTGATATTACCACCTGCGTGCATTCTAGATGGGCTTAGATTGCAGTTAGATTGTTGCGCCACAAGGTGGTGGAAAGGGACTGTCTTTGAGTGAGTCTTTAAACCGTTCATTCAACTACACATTCAAAAACGCTGATTTATTCAAAGAGAGACAATGAAAAACGCTGTTGAAATCATTTTAACTTTGAGCGTCATGTTAGAAGGCTCAGCTGACCAATGCGTCGATGCTAAGCAACCTATTTGAACAAATATATATGACTCGCAAGTAATCGCACGCGCTCAGTTGATCTCTCTCTCATTCGTTGTCTGTTTAGGCTTGTTAAGTGCAAATCTACAAAGCATCTGTACAAATCATAATGGTACACATTATGTTATCATTACTAACTTATTTAATATTCAGTACACATGCACGAAGTGTAAAACGAGAAGGGCATAACCCCATGAAAAAGAAAACACGCAAAAATCGCGGTTGCTGCGGTTCTTGCATTCCTCTGCGGTTTGCTCATCAATAGCGCGGGTATTGCAATATCGCGGTTATCGCGACAGCCCTATCCATGTGACATCAGGGGTTCAACGGTAATTTCACAAAGTTACGAGAATACTTTTTGTGCGCAAAGAAAACAATAATAACAATTTTTGCTGAACGTAATCAGCGCTGTTCACGTTCAGTAGACAGCGTGCGCATGCTGAATGTAAACGATGCTCATTACGTTGATTTCGTTCTGAGGTACTCTCCAAAATGGTGGAAGACGGTAACTCGGGGAGAAGAACTGTTGAATGAATTATGTTATTATTGTTTTCTTTGCGAACAAAAAGTATTCTCGTAGCTTCGTAAAATTACGGTTTAACCCCTGATGTCACATGGACTATTTTACCGATGTCCTTGCTACGTTTCTGTGCGTTGATCGTGGTAATATCCTTGCTGTCTATGGAGAGTCAGAGAGCTCTCAGATTTAGGGATATTCATATTGACCGTTTAACTGTTAACTGAAAGAAAGATTTTTAACCAATTAATACTATAAGTTATACAGTTTAAAATGTTTTTTTTTCACAAATATTTTTAAGTTTGCTGCATGGTAAAAGAAAAAATAATGCTATACACAGTATTTGTTTACTCACGGGCGCGTCGACACGTGCAGCGTGCATACAGACATATTTCTCAGAGCAAGCACCTGCTTCGCCTTCACTTAGTTAACTGATGTAGTATACGTAACACAATGGCAAGTGGCAATATTAGATAAATGGTTATCAGAGAGTGAATCCGTGAGTGAATGTATGTAAATTCTGAATGGATTATATAGTGCGCAATGGGCGCACCCCTTATAATCACTGGAAATCGGTCACTCATCTTACTGTAGATCATTGCGATCTCACAATTAAGTTAATTAAAAATAATCAAAGAAGCTTTACACTGTACAATTAATCTCTTATTTACATAATGTCTACACTTTCTTTGTTTTAATGAGAGAATTCGCAAACGTGTAGAATTCATAACACCGGCATTTTTGGTGGTGAGTGGATTGCGTTCATGAAATCAACAGATAGATCTGTGATTGGCTATATTGCTCAATGCTGCTGCAAACACGCCGTAAATAGAAACATATGACCAGTGGATGAAAAGTCCCGAACCGCAAATTGAGAGGATTTTTGTTATGGTGTTTTTGCAGCGGGTCTAACAGTTAGCAGGCAGCGCTCCAGTCTATCCGTACAGGATGTCGACATGTTACTTAAAAAAATTAAAAAGACACGTACACTGAGGTAGGCCTGCTATATATTTTTATGTCTGACGGGAAAACAACTATGCCGTTCTTCAAAACGCATAGAAGGATTCAGTGTGTGTTTTAGTTTTGTCATCTTAATTTGTTAATTATTTATTTGATATATATTTAGTGTAGGCCTACTTATTTTATTCTTTTTTGTTTATATTATTTTATTCTGTTTTTCTCTGTTCTCAGAAGCGCTGCCGGTGCGTGATAATCTGAGGATGTGTGAATCCAGGTTTTGCTGTTGCTCTGTATGCTGCTGTTTGCACGTTAAAATATTTGTTTGTATTTTTAATGTACCATCACAGATGCTTGTCCATTCTATTTTTATTTAATACTAATTTATTATTCTAATTTTATCAGTTAACGGTTAATGTTCGGATAAGGAGCAGCGGTTGTCGGTCAGGAAAATAAACCGAAATGAGCATCCCTACACAGATTCCATCAAAAATATCTTAATTTGTGTTTCGAAGATGAACGAAGGACTTACAGGTTTGGAACGACATGAGGGTGAGTAATTAATGACAATTTTCATTTTTGGGTGAACTAACCCTTTAACAAATATAATCATCTTTTGCTGCAAAAAAAGTCCACCTCTTTGGATAAGACATAGTAAATAGTTGCAAAACCACTAAGTTAAATAAAATTGGTTTAATTTTTAGGTGACTTATCCCTTTAATGCTTTTTATTATTATTATGGAAATATGAAATTATTATTTTTTAAATGAAATAAAATACTATAAATTAAAAACAAAAAACTGTCAGTGGATGGCGATAAATATCTTAAGTCATTCATTTCATGATTCAGTCATTTATTCATTCGACTGGTTTAAACGGGCGTTTAATGAAGTAAATGTTTATGAATGGGCCATTAAATCATCGGTTTTCCCATTCATTCAAAAATTGTACATTGCTTGGAAACACACTACAGCTCTGCTGTGGCTTTATAGGTAATATTTTCATTGGACAAATTGAGCAAAAACAAATGAAATGAAGATCGCTATAGCTAGCTACTCTGTCCATTTATTAACTCACCTGGTATGTCTCAACGGGTCGATTCTCCATGTTGAGATCCCAGATTTTGACGGACAGGTAGTCTCGGGTCATCATGTAGCGGCCGTTGTGACTGAACTTCACGTCTGAGATGGAGGAGATGATTTCAGAAAAGAAAGAGCGGTTGCTGGGGTCCTCAGGTTCTTCGAACACTAGACAAAGCAGAGAAACGAACAGAGTATACACTATTTGGAAAACAATCAAATTGGATTAAGTGGCATATATGATGCAGCCAGCACATATAACTCACATTTAGAGTGCTTGTCACAAAGTGCTGATGCACGCATGTCACATAGGCGGATGGTGCCTTTGCTGCTGCTGTAGACAAACGTGTTACATTGGTGAGGGTGGAACTCTGTGGCTGTGATCACCTCCGTCAGCTCCTCCATGTTGGCTGGTTTTATGTCCACAACGTCTGATGCAGAGTTAAAGCCACATAACGTCGCTGAACTGACACACTGAGAGGTGTCAATAGACATTTCAACATGACATTCACAACCCAAATCAACAAACACTTAACAACAAAATGCTCCTTTATATCCTCCAAAATTATTCATATTTCCCTTTATAGGATACTGAAGCTGCGGTCTGTGATCTCTAAGTGCCACAGGTTGATGCGCAGGTCGTCTGCAGACAGATAGGTCTCGTTGTCGCTGTTGACCGAGATGGAGTTGATGTGGTAGGTGTGGCCGTTGACAAAGACCCGCCGCGGACTGGCCTCCACCATGAGATCCATAGGCCTGAATACTGGCACCTGCACAAAGAGGCCAAACATAATTGCTTTTATGAATATATAACAGTTATTGAGAGCAAAAACACAAATGGAGAGCATATACACACTACCTTTCACAATTTGGGGTTAGTAAGTTGTTTTTGTTTGTTTAGTTTTTTTCAGCAAGGATGCATTAAAGGGATAGTTCACTCAAAAATGAAAAGTTCTGTCATTACTTACTCACCCTCATGTCATTCCAAACCTGTAAGACCGTCATTCATCTTCGGAACACAAATTAAGATATTTTTGAAATATCTGAGAGCTCTCTGACCCTGCATAGACAGCAACACAACTGAAATGTTCCCAGGTCCAGAAACGTAGCATGGACATCGGTTAAATAGTCCGTGTGACATCAGTGGTTTAACTGTAAATTTTATGAAGCTACGAGAATACTTATGTGCGCAAAGAAAACAAAAATAGAGCAAGCAGACGGGATGAGGAGGATGAATAAAGTTATTATTTTCGTTTTGTTTGCACACAAAAAGTATTCTTGTAGCTTCGTAAAATTACGGTTGAACCACTGATGGGCTTACCGATGTCCTTGCTACGTTTCTGAGCCTGGGAACATTTCAGTTGCGTTGCTGTCTATGCAGGGTCAGAAAGCTCTCAAAAATGTCTTAATTTATGTTACAAAGATGAACGAAGGTCTTACGGGTTTGGAACGACATGAGGGTGAGTAATTAATGACAATTTTCTTTTTTGGTGAACTGTCCCTTTAAATTGATCAAAAGTGATTTTTTTTATGTATTTAAAAATGACTGATTTATTAGAATTTTTATGTCACAAAATATTTATATATCAAATAAACGCTGCTCCTTTGAATCTTCTATTTAACTTAATATATCAGTTTCCAAAAAAATATTAAGCAGCACGACTTTTTTCTACATTGATAAAATTTCTTAAGCAGCAAATCAGCATATTAGAATGATTTCTGAAGGATCATGTGACGCTGAAAACTGGAGTAATGATTGCTGATACAGTTCTAAATTGTAATAATATATCACAATATGATTGCTTTTACTGTGTTTTATTAAAGAAAAAAATAGAAAAATATTACTAAACCCAAATGTTTGAATGGTAGCGTAAATGCATAAAAACGGTTATAATATTCACTAATCTTCGATTATTATAACATATTATATATGGGTAGATTTTACGTCAATACCAATGTTCTTGAGTAGGGCTGCGATGATAAATTGATGCAGAATCGATTAGTGGATCGATTCTGAGATCTTCCGAATGCATCGCGATTCTCTCTGGAATCGATTCTGAGTTTAGATTTTAACAGCAGATGGCGCTCTAATCTAGTTTTTATCCGCACACTCAAATGCGCACGAAGAAGAGTGCTGAAGAGCACTTGTACATTCGGCTGAGTCATGTAATTTCACCTCGGCTCAGAATGCTTTTATGACACGAGATTAATGTAAACACAGCCCACTGTGAACACCCTTGTAATTCGCTTCAACCTTTTCGAATTGTATTTTATTATTTGGAAACAAGCATTGTTTCTCACCCGTAGAGTTGTGATGGTAGCAGCATCTCTGTAGCGCCCATCCTCCTCTTTAAGATTGTATCCCTCTGGTCTCTTGTCACGTTCACTGATCTTCCACAACTTTATAGTTTTATCTGCAATCGAAAGTACAGAATAACATCAGCTTCTAATGTGGGATCTGCCCTCTGACTCATGCTAAAAATAATTGTGAGAGCCACAAAAAAAACCCCCAAGCCTATTTCCATGAGTAATAAGAGGTAGTTTGACTGGCATAACGAATCAAGTTGACAGTTCACCAAATTTTGAAAACATCTGGACATTTTTCCGACATCTAATCTGAACTCTGTCCCACAAATATCTTCCTCCAGTGTGTGGGTGAGCTGAAGATCGGCACTCAGTCTATTCAAGTCTTAAATACACAACGGTTGCATAACACGTCGGAGAGTTCATATTTTTAGACAGCATGGAGATGCATCAGTGAGTCAGGGAAAAATCTGGAGAATTTGCAGAGCTCACATCAACTCACAGAAGTTATTAAATGCGTCTCCAGTTGAAAATATCGATTTGGTATTGACTGTATTGTAAGTATAGACATCTGGACATTTTTCCGACATCTAATCTGAACTCTGTCCCACAAATATCTTCCTCCAGTGTGTGGGTGAGCTGAAGATCGGCATTCAGTCTATTCAAGTCTTAAATACACAACGGTTGCATAACACGTCGGAGAGTTCATATTTTTAGACAGCATGGAGATGCATCAGTGAGTCAGGGAAAAATCTGGAGAATTTGCAGAGCTCACATCAACTCACAGAAGTTATTAAATGCGTCTCCAGTTGAAAATATCGATTTGGTATTGACTGTATTGTAAGTATATATCAGTCTGTATAGTGCTGCACTTTTAAAACCATAGGACCAAAAGAAGTAACCCCAAAGATTTCAAGTAATTGTTTAACATTTCAATTCAAAAGTGATTAAAAAAAATTATAATAATAAATCCCAGCATGCATTGCCATATAAATTAATGATATATTAGTTTGTGTTACAGGACGGCAATTTTGCAGACTTAAAAGTTTATTTGATATTAAGGGTCATATAAAACCATATACAAGAATTAAGTCTTAATAAAAAATAATAAATAAAAGCTTTGTGTTGCTAATTGGGTATTTGTTAGCAAAACAATAAATAAATACATAAATATAATAAAAACTGTAGTTGTCTTGACAATTTATTAAATGAATGAACCAAGACAGACATATTTTATGTTTTAAATTAACTAAATAAATGAATAATAATAATAAAACCTAATCTACTGTATGTTTTTGTGAATCACAGTAATGTAAAACCTTGGAATTATCTGCATCTGGTAGCTATTCTCAGCAAATACTCATACACAATTATTTTTTAAATAATTTAACATGCACTTAAAAAAAAAAACATATAGCCCTAATAATGAATATTAAATGTAATACATATTTTTATATGACAAAGTAAAACATAACATTTTTTTTTACTTAGATTTTTATTTATTTTTTAAGTTACATATTCCTTTTTTTAAGAGAGAATTTTAGAACTAGATTTTAACTTTTTTTTTTTAATTATTAATTAGATATATCTTTTTTGGAGGATTTTAAAATGAGATTTTTTTCATTTGGCTTTTTTTAAAATGATAAATTACAACATTTTTGGGAGAATTTTAGAATTAGATTTGTACATTTTGTTTTATTTTCTTTTTGATTATAAATATCATTTTTTGGGAGAATTTTAGAATTATAAGTTTTTATTTTGTTTTGTTTTTAAATTATAAATGACACAATCTGCCATTTTATATCTAATAAACCCCCAGCATTTCTATTATGAACTCCTAGGGTTCAGGGTTCACATTACATATTCATCTCCATCCTTCAGTAAAATAAAGAGATTTGATTGGTCTGCGCTAACAGTAAGACTCCACAGAGCCCCACTGCTCTACTAACCATTTGTGGACAACAAAAATTGTGCAGCGTTCTTTTGTGGTAGCCAGCGGATCTTGTTAATCTTTTCCTCGATTTCCAAGCTCTTCAGGTAGTCGAACTCAGGCTCGTGGCTCTGAAATGTGCTGTAAACATTGTATTCACTACGGCACTGTGGCTGACTCTTGTTCTGCAAAAAGAAAAGCAAGTTTTTGTGAGAAAGACATAAGCGGGAATGAAAGCGGATATAATGTTACTATGAAACGGCCTGATCCTTCACCTCAGTCTCTTGCTGGAAGATGACAACTCGACCGCCTTTATCCCCTGTGGCTAGCAGCTCCCCTGAGTGGTTGAACTCCACAGTAGAGATGATATCGGCTGTAGGACGGGCAGAAACAGACACATCTGTCAGATTTCCTCCACCCTCGTCCCCCGAAAGATATATACAACTGATCCATCTCAACAGCCACAGGGATCTTGCCAAAAACACCCTCCGCCATCATAATTTAATGTGCGATTTGCTTCAAACACATTTAACCTCAAAAGTCAGAGAGTCACTGACTGACTCAACGAGATGAATCTTTAAATAAAAAGGCACCGTGACACGCAGATCTGTAACCCAGATTCCTGCCGCAATATATGCTCCTGAGACGATGGGCTGTAGACTGACTCACAGCAATTTAACCCTTTATAAACCAGTAGAGCAGAAGAAAGCAGGAGAAAAGCAGAATGCAACGGCCCTTTGTTTAAGTCTGACCTCCCTGGGGGCCAAAACTGAAACAAAGTCACTAAATCAAGCCAGAAGACTTTGATAAGAGGCCTGTAAAATACAAACTGGAGATTTGAGGTGAAGATCTGCTTGGACTTTAGGTTTGCATAAGAACTATTACAAGAAGAAATATTACAAATTTACAGCTATAAATGACAGGCAGTAGGGCTGGGTGACATATTGAATATTTATGATATATTCAGTGTAATATAATTGGGTGTAATAATATATTGTGTCACAATATGTCGCAATACAAAAATGCAAGAAAACGACAAAATGTATTGTGTAAAATTCACCCAAAATTAAAGTTTAGACATTTAATTTAGGATTTTATTGAAACAAAAACACGGATAAACAAACTAATAAACGTTTTAAACGTATGTTGTCAGGGAGAGAGACTGCAAGCATATGTGTCTAACATATTTCTGTATCTTTAGTGAAGCAGAACCACAAATATTTCTATTCTTGTTAATGAATGGTACTTTTTGTTAACTGTTTATTGTATGTCTTAGAAGTAATAATAAAAAGTAACATTTAAACTCTATTCCGGCTTTGTTAAAAGTATTGTGAGAGTACTGTTTTGTATTGTGAGATCAGCATCACGTTTTGAACCAAATCATGACACGAGTGTATTGTTACACACCTATATTCTATATTTTGTCTGTTATATAATTAACCAACATCATGAATAGTATGACATTTCTGGGTCATGAAGTTTACTGAAAATAGACTGGTGTCAGTAGACTAGTTTCTCATCTAGACCGTTTTTCTGCATTTTTGCAATGATTTTGAAGGAAAATCTGTTTAAACATGGAAAAATGGATTTAGAGGGTTAGTTCACCCAAAAACAAAAATTCTGTCATTAATTACTCGTTCTAAACCCATAAGACCTCCGTTCATCTTCGTAAACAGCATATGCTATTCTGTGTCAGTTGCGTCACACGGATACGTTTTCTACGTTGTTTACGCTTTGATTTGAACGAAAACAGCATATCCACTTGACGCAGCTGACACAGAATAGCGTACGCTGTTTGCGTTCAGTGGATACTCTCTAAAATGGCACCAGGGTGACGCGGACAAGATGAATTGTTGAATAAAGTCGTTATTTTTGTTTTCTTCGCGTACAAAAAGTATTCTCGTAGCTTCGTAAAATTACGGTCGATCCCCTGATGTCACATGGATTATTTTACCGATCTCCTTGCTACGTTTCTGGACCTTGATCCTGGTAATTACATTGCTGTCTATGGGAGGGTCAGAGAGATCTCAGAATTCATAAAAGATATATTATATTTATATATATTTGTGTTCTTACGGGTTTAGAACGACATGAAGGTAAGTAATTAATGACAGAATTTTCATTTTTGGGTGAACTATCCATTTAAACGTGTTAAGCACAGCTGAAAGTATTACATTAGTGGCAGCACAAAGCAAGATTAAATTAGCCAAACTATTTATGAGGCTTCTTATAAATACTAGAATATTGGAATATTTCCATTTTCTGATTTAAGTCTCAGTCGCAAACATGCAGAGAGAGCTGCATTCATCATGTTTTAATCAACCCATTCAAATTAGATTATCTTGTGGGAAAAAAAAAATCATGAAATTCAACATGTGGAGTATTACATTCTTTTTTTCTGTAAAAATATATGATCATAAATATTGATATGCATTATTATGTATTCATATAAATGGAAAAAAATATTTAAAAAATACTTACATTATATTATATTAATAATCATTATATAAATGTAAGGGTGTATATTAAATTTCTAGTAGATTCCAATAAGCCAATCATTTTTCTCATGTGATGGCTGATAACAGATAAATGCACATGCACAATTAAATATACAATATCAACTGACAAAAAAAAAAAAAGTTGAAATATTGTGAACGGATGGCTTCAACAAAAGCACCATTAATTAAAAACACTGGAGCTCACAACAGGTCTGCCTTTAAAGGTTTATAAGCTATCATAAAAATCTATTTGCTTATGGAGAAAGAGAATGGTTTTTACTTCTGGATCCCAAATGTTGCACTCTATAGTGTCTATCATGTCACTAATGTCTTTTGCACACTTTTGACTCTCCACATAAAGTCTGGTCCATAAATCGCCTGATTAGACTGGAAGAGACTATTCGGACAGGTACTCACCTTCGGCTACGTCATCATCGATCGCACCTTTCACTTGTGAAAAGCACCACTGCACATCGTTTCCCCCGCCTCCGGCTCCTGAAACCACAAAACGCCAGTTAAACTTTGTTGCAGCCCACATATAAAAATTCACCTTGGACCAGGCTGGGTAAGATATTTTTGATGCTTTTAGAAATCTCAAATCTATTAGGAACTTTTAACTGACCGTTCGCAAAGACTCACCCCTCCTTAGTTACTGTTGCTATCCCCGACAAACAATGCCGCTCTCACACTACACACGTTCTCACGCAGTGAAAAATACGTCGCACAGCAAAGAGGAAACTGACTACAGAGCAGGCTACTTCTGATATGAAACAAGGTCTCAGGACTCTCAGCTTTCAAATTTTGTCATTTTTAAAGAAATTCACACTCAGTATTTTAACTTAAGCGCTGCAAGCCATGCAAATGCGGCGGACATGACCTGACATATTACCATTACTGTGGCAGCCAACAACAGTACAGCTTAACCCTCCGCACATATTTATATTGAAAAAGTTTCAATTCAGTCGATCTTTTTACCCCGTTTTAACCAAGCGGCAACCTCCCGCTCTCTCTCGTGAAGCCAACAAGGAAGTGACTTAAATTGTAATTTATCAACTGGCCGCTAGCGGCTGGCTGCAAAAGGGAGTCAATCCCATAGACTCCCCATGTTAAAATGCCCAACTTTACAGCAGAAAAAAAACGTTTACAGCCCGGTTCAAAAAATGATTTTGGTCTATATAGCTAATTTTGCCCTTCATGACAACTGTGAGGGGGGTGAATTTTTTTATAACTCATCCGTTTAAATTATATTAAGCCTTAAA